CACAACCTAAAGTCACAACCTAGCATCACAACCTAAAGTTACAACCTAGCACCACAACCTAAAGTCACAACCTAAAGTTACAACCTAGCACCACAACCTAAAGTCACAAAGTAGCACCACAACCTAAAGTCACATCCTAGCACCACAACCTAAAACCACAACCTAGGGTCACAACCTAGAGTCACAACCTAGCACCACAACCTAAAGTTACAACCTAGCACCACAACCTAAAGTCACAACCTAGCACCACAACCTAAAGTCACAACCTAGCACCACAACCTAAAGTCACAACCTAGCACCACAACCTAAAGTCACAACCTAGCACCACAACCTAAAGTCACAACCTAGCACCACAACCTAAAGTCACAACCTAGCACCACAACCTAAAGTCACAACCTAGCACCACAACCTAAAGTCACAACCTAGCACCACAACCTAAAGTCACAACCTAGCACCACAACCTAAAGTCACAACCTAGCACCACAACCTAAAGTCACAACCTAGCACCACAACCTAAAGTCACAACCTAGCACCACAACCTAAAGTCACAACCTAGCACCACAACCTAAAGTCACAACCTAGCACCACAACCTAAAGTCACAACCTAGCACCACAACCTAAAGTCACAACCTAGCACCACAACCTAAAGTCACAACCTAGCACCACAACCTAAAGTCACAACCTAGCACCACAACCTAAAGTCACAACCTAGCACCACAACCTAAAGTCACAACCTAGCACCACAACCTAAAGTCACAACCTAGCACCACAACCTAAAGTCACAACCTAGCACCACAACCTAAAGTCACAACCTAGCACCACAACCTAAAGTCACAACCTAGCACCACAACCTAAAGTCACAACCTAGCACCACAACCTAAAGTCACAACCTAGCACCACAACCTAAAGTCACAACCTAGCACCACAACCTAAAGTCACAACCTAGCACCACAACCTAAAGTCACAACCTAGCACCACAACCTAAAGTCACAACCTAGCACCACAACCTAAAGTCACAACCTAGCGTCACAACCTAAAGTCACAACCTAGCACCACAACCTAAAGTCACAACCTAGCACCACAACCTAAAGTCACAACCTAGCACCACAACCTAAAGTCACAACCTAGCACCACAACCTAAAGTCACAACCTAGCACCACAACCTAAAGTCACAACCTAGCACCACAACCTAAAGTCACAACCTAGCACCACAACCTAAAGTCACAACCTAGCACCACAACCTAAAGTCACAACCTAGCACCACAACCTAAAGTCACAACCTAGCACCACAACCTAAAGTCACAACCTAGCACCACAACCTAAAGTCACAACCTAGCACCACAACCTAAAGTCACAACCTAGCACCACAACCTAAAGTCACAACCTAGCACCACAACCTAAAGTCACAACCTAGCACCACAACCTAAAGTCACAACCTAGCACCACAACCTAAAGTCACAACCTAGCACCACAACCTAAAGTCACAACCTAGCACCACAACCTAAAGTCACAACCTAGCACCACAACCTAAAGTCACAACCTAGCACCACAACCTAAAGTCACAACCTAGCACCACAACCTAAAGTCACAACCTAGCACCACAACCTAAAGTCACAACCTAGCACCACAACCTAAAGTCACAACCTAGCACCACAACCTAAAGTCACAACCTAGCACCACAACCTAAAGTCACAACCTAGCACCACAACCTAAAGTCACAACCTAGCACCACAACCTAAAGTCACAACCTAGCACCACAACCTAAAGTCACAACCTAGCACCACAACCTAAAGTCACAACCTAGCACCACAACCTAAAGTCACAACCTAGCACCACAACCTAAAGTCACAACCTAGCACCACAACCTAAAGTCACAACCTAGCACCACAACCTAAAGTCACAACCTAGCACCACAACCTAAAGTCACAACCTAGCACCACAACCTAAAGTCACAACCTAGCACCACAACCTAAAGTCACAACCTAGCACCACAACCTAAAGTCACAACCTAGCACCACAACCTAAAGTCACAACCTAGCACCACAACCTAAAGTCACAACCTAGCACCACAACCTAAAGTCACAACCTAGCACCACAACCTAAAGTCACAACCTAGCACCACAACCTAAAGTCACAACCTAGCACCACAACCTAAAGTCACAACCTAGCACCACAACCTAAAGTCACAACCTAGCACCACAGCCTAAAGTCACAACCTAGCACCACAACCTAAAGTCACAACCTAGGGTCACAACCTAAAGTTAAAACCTAGCACCACAACCTAAAGTCACATCCTAGCACCACAACCTAAAACCAAAACCTAGCACCACAACCTAAAGTCACAACCTAGGGTCACAACCTAAAGTTACAACCTAGCACCACAACCTAAAGTCACAACCTAGCACCACAACCCAAAGTCACAACCTAGCACCACAACCCAAAGTCACAACATAGCACCACAGCCTAAAGTCACAACCTAGCACCACAACCTAAAGTCACAACCTAGGGTCACAACCTAAAGTTACAACCTAGCACCACAACCTAAAGTCACATCCTAGCACCACAACCTAAAGTTACAACCTAGGGTCAGAACCTAAAGTCACAACCTAGCACCACAACCTAAAGTTACAACCTAGCACCACAACCTAAAGTCACAACCTAGAGTCACAATCTAGCACCACAACCTAGAGTCACATCCTAGCACCACAACCTAGCACCACAACCTAGAGTCACATCCTAGGGTCACAACCTAAAGTCACAACCTAGCACCACAACCTAAAACCACAACCTAGGGTCACAACCTAGCACCACAGCCTAGAGTCACAACCTACAGTCACAACCTAGCACCACAACCTAGCACCACAACCTAAAACCACAACCTAGGGTCACAACCTAGCACCACAGCCTAGAGTCACAACCTAGCACCACAACCTAGAGTCACAACCTAGCACCACAACCTAAAGTCACAACCTAGCACCACAACCTAGAGTCACAACCTAGCACCACAACCTAGCACCACAACCTTGCACCACAACTTAGCTGCTCAACTTTAGCAAATTGACCCTTATGTCAACCTTAACATTTTACCATACGCCTAATCTAACACCCCAGCCTTGTTGTCACCTCTAGTAAAAAAATATGTTTATTTTATAAACAAGGTTATATAGTATGTGCTTTTATTACCTGCTTATGTTAATATTATGATTAACTTCTCTGTTGTACAATTGTAGGTGGTGTGTTACATCTACTTCACGAGGATAATAGCATATCTTATAAAGGTACGTATATATATAACTAGTGATCAGTCATCAGTGTATTATATATTTCTAGATTTGAGAAAAGCATTTGACAAGAGATAGTGTAAGTCTTACGACCCTAGAACTTGTTCTCTGTGTTGTAGATAACCGTACCATTCCAGTATGAGTGGCTGTATGACCTGTTGTTTGTGTTGTAGATACCTGTACCATTCCAGTATGAGTGGCTGTACGACCGGTTGTTTGTGTTGAAGATAACCGTACCATTCCAGTATGAGTGTCTGTATGACCTGTTGTTTGGGTTGTAGATAAATGTAATGTTCCAGTATGAGTGCCTGTATGACCTGTTGTTTGTGTTGTAGATACCTGTACCATTCCAGTATGAGTGGCTGTACGACCGGTTGTTTGTGTTGAAGATAACCGTACCATTCCAGTATGAGTAGCTGTATGACCTGTTGTTTGTGTTCTAGATAACTGTACCATTCCAGTATGAGTTGCTGTATGACCTGTTGTTTGTGTTGTAGATAAATGTAATGTTCCAGTATGAGTGCCTGTATGACCTGTTGTTTGTGTTGTAGATACCTGTACCATTCCAGTATGAGTGGCTGTACGACCGGTTGTTTGTGTTGAAGATAACCGTACCATTCCAGTATGAGTGTCTGTATGACCTGTTGTTTGTGTTGCAGATAACTGTACCATTCCAGTATGAGTTGCTGTATGACCTGTTGTTTGTGTTGTAGGTAACCGTACCATTCCAGTATGAGTGTCTGCATGACCTGTTGTTTGTGTTGTAGATAAATGTAATGTTCCATTATGAGTGGCTGTATGACCTGTTGTTTGGGTTGTAGATAAATGTAATGTTCCAGTATGAGTGCCTGTATGACCTGTTGTTTGTGTTGTAGATACCTGTACCATTCCAGTATGAGTGGCTGTATGACCTGTGGTTTGTGTTGTAGATAACTGTACCATTCCAGTATGAGTGGCTGTATGACCTGTTTAGAGAGACAACATCATTCCTGTTTTTCTTGGTGACGGGATGGAAGTTCCGCCCCGCGTCTAACAACCCCTATCTACAGGTGCCCCAGGACAGTGATGATGAGCTTGAGATGGATGAAGTGTAAGTATAACAGTTTAGCTGTAGGTGTTATCATTGTCTGTCCTCTATCTGATCACCATCTCTTCAAATCAGCATTACGATAATAACAAAACAATATTTGAACCCTCAAGTAACATTAACTAACAGAATTCAGTCACAGAAACGGATCTGTACCGTTACTTTATGGCATCAGAATGGTAAAGGTGTTTTGATAACTACAGCTGACAAATGACAACTTTATGAATTCATGATGCTTTTATACATGTTTGTAAATGACACCACCACCCTCCATCTCAAAAAGCTTAGACAATAATATTCTTGTATACAAGTATTTCTTCCAGAGCTAAGCATTTTGGAAGTATCTGGCATGTGATCTTTACTATTGCCAAATACAAACCTTCATTGGACATTTGTATTACTATTGGAAATGCTGTTAACTATATAAATATCATACCTTGTGATTGTAATACACCTATCATATTCACATAGTGTGAGATGCCTGAAGGGTTATACAACTTTATGCTGATTTTCTAATAGAAATGTTTTGATCCCACAGAGTGACGGAATCAGGAGCACTTGACACTGTAAAGCGTGTTAATCAGAAGGAGGAGTCAAGTACCCAGCCTAAACAGCGAGAGAGCAGTCACGAGTACGACTAACACCCGTCACGAGTATGACTAACACCTGTCACAATGTGACAATACTCAAAACTGTTCTTTGTCAGTGATAGAGTTCAGGGTTGTCTCCCTTCTTCTAAGTAAGATCACTGGTCACCTCCCCCCACACTGCTGTGTTATGCTGACTTATTACCTAAAGACAACAGCTAGAGCACTCTGGCTTGGAGATAAGCTCTTGTGGGGATCTACTCTTAAATCTGCATAGCATATAAATGATTTCTAATAAGCTTCTATCTCTCTATAGACTACTGTCTGAAGCGTTAACAAAACCTTGTCCACAGAGGTTCCATTATCGACCATGTATCAATATAAATATAATTACTGTAAATTTCAGGTTAACAAAGAAATCTTATAAATATCTAGTAATAAAGAAAACCTGTGTACCACATACTTGTCAGAGGGACACACTGACCTTTGACCTGTCTAGACAGGTATGAAGTAACACTAGACTTTCAGGAGATGAGACTTCTCCCACTATGTATATTGATTAATAACCTAGCTAAGATTGAGAGTTTCGATAGCATGCAGAACTGTTTCTAGTCAGACGAGGATATTTTATTAAATTAAGCAATCTTCATTTATTCACTCCAAAATTATTAATTGTAAATATATTCACTTTGGAATTATCTAATATGTACAAGAGATTAAATGCTTATGATGCTCCTAAGATATCTAAGCAGAGAAATACTGAGGTGTAGGCATGAGTGTAGGTATATGATATATTTATGTTTTAAATGAGCACAGAGAAGTATGACAGGTGGTTGATCCAAGTGTGGAGTAATTTACAGATCTGTGGGGATTTTCATGACAAAGTGCTGCATATCACTGATACAATGAGTGTTAATGATGTTATAAAAATAGGGGGAGGTAATAATGTTTGAGGACTGTTCTGTATCAACATGTGGTGTACACCTCGCTGGTGTTCCTAAGTTAACGGTTCTGTGGGAGGAGAAAAGGAACAAACTTTGTAATTTATTGTACATTGTGTGCTTACAAGTACTAAGTATGTATTATTATTTAATGTTGAAAAATGTCTGTATTGCTGGTGTTAATCATAAATAAATGGGAGTGAGTTAGCTGATGCTAGTATTGTAAGTTCCCTGAGTATGAATGAGTTAGCTGATGCTAGTATTGTGAATTCCCTGAGTATGAATGAGTTAGCTGATGCTAGTATTGTAAGTTCCCTGAGTATGAGTGAGTTAGCTGATGCTAGTATTGTAAGTTCCTGGAGTATGAATGAGTTAGCTGATGCTAGTATTGTGAGTTCCCTGAGTATGAATGAGTTAGCTGATGCTAGTATTGTGAGTTCCCTGAGTATGAGTGAGTTAGCTGATGCTAGTATTGTGAGTTCCCTGAGTATGAATGAGTTAGCTGATGCTAGTATTGTGAGTTCCCTGAGTATGAGTGAGTTAGCTGATGCTAGTATTGTGAGTTCCCTGAGTATGAGTGAGTTAGCTGATGCTAGTATTGTGAGTTCCCTGAGTATGAGTGAGTTAGCTGATGCTAGTATTGTGAGTTCCCTGAGTATGAGTGAGTTAGCTGATGCTAGTATTGTGAGTTCCCTGAGTATGAGTGAGTTAGCTGATGCTAGTATTGTGAGTTCCCTGAGTATGAGTGAGTTAGCTGATGCTAGTATTGTGAGTTCCCTGAGTATGAGTGAGTTAGCTGATGCTAGTATTGTGAGTTCCCTGAGTATGAGTGAGTTAGCTGATGCTAGTATTGTGAGTTCCCTGAGTATGAGTGAGTTAGCTGATGCTAGTATTGTGAGTTCCCTGAGTATGAGTGAGTTAGCTGATGCTAGTATTGTGAGTTCCCTGAGTATGAGTGAGTTAGCTGATGCTAGTATTGTGAGTTCCCTGAGTATGAATGAGTTAGCTGATGCTAGTATTGTGAGTTCCCTGAGTATGAGTGAGTTAGCTGATGCTAGTATTGTGAGTTCCCTGAGTATGAGTGAGTTAGCTGATGCTAGTATTGTGAGTTCCCTGAGTATGAGTGAGTTAGCTGATGCTAGTATTGTGAGTTCCCTGAGTATGAGTGAGTTAGCTGATGCTAGTATTGTGAGTTCCCTGAGTATGAGTGAGTTAGCTGATGCTAGTATTGTGAGTTCCCTGAGTATGAGTGAGTTAGCTGATGCTAGTATTGTGAGTTCCCTGAGTATGAATGAGTTGACTGATGCTAGTATTGTGAGTTCCCTGAGTATGAATGAGATAGCTGATGCTAGTATTGTGATTTCCCTGAGTATGAGTGAGTTAACTGCTTTGTATTTATTAGCTATAAAGTATAAATGAGTTACTTGCTTTGTATCTATTAGCTATAAAGTATAAACGAGTTAATTGCTTTGTATTTATTAGCTATAAATTATGAATGAGTTACTTGTGTGAGTGAGGTTATTGATGTAGTGGTAGCCTTTACCCTAATTGAGGTGTACATGTTTGAGTTACTAGTATGAGTGAGGTTATTGATGTAGTGGTAGTCTTTACCCTAATTGAGGTGTACATGTATTCGTTACTAGTGTGAGTGAGGTTATTGATGTAGTGGTAGCCTTTACCCTAATTGAGGTGTACATGTTTGAGTTACTAGTATGAGTGAGGTTATTGATGTAGTGGTAGTCTTTACCCTAATTGAGGTGTACATGTATGAGTTACTAGTGTGAGTGAGGTTATTGATGTAGTGGTAGCCTTTACCCAAATTGAGGTGTACATGTTTGAGTTACTAGTGTGAGTGAGGTTATTAATGTAGTGGTAGCCTTTACCCTAATTGAGGTGTACATGTTTGAGTTACTAGTGTGAGTGAGGTTAATGATGTAGTGGTAGCCTTTGCCCTAATTGAGGTGTACATGCATGAGTTACTAGTGTGAGTGGGGTTATTGATGTAGTGGTAACCTTTACCCTAATTGAGGTGCACATGTTTGAGTTACTAGTGTGAGTGGGGTTATTGATGTAGTGGTAGTCTTTACCCTAATTGAGGTGCACATGTTTGAGTTACTAGTGTGAGTGGGGTTATTGATGTAGTGGTAGCCTTTACCCTAATTGAGGTGTACATGTATTCGTTACTAGTGTGAGTGAGGTTATTGATGTAGTGGTAGCCTTTACCCAAATTGAGGTGTACATGTTTGAGTTACTAGTGTGAGTGAGGTTATTAATGTAGTGGTAGCCTTTACCCTAATTGAGGTGTACATGTTTGAGTTACTAATGAGAGTGAGGTTATTGATGTAGTGTTAGCCTTTACCCTAATTGAGGTGTACATGTATGAGTTACTAGTGTGAGTGAGGTTATTGATGTAGTGTTAGCCTTTACCCTAATTGAGGGGTACATGTTTGAGTTACTAATGAGAGTGAGGTTATTGATGTAGTGGTAGCCTTGACCCTAATTGAGGTGTACATGTTTGAGTTACTAATGAGCGTGAGGTTATTGATGTAGTGTTGGCCTTTACCCTAATTGAGGTGTACATGTATGAGTTTCTAGTGTGAGTGAGGTTATTGATGTAGTGTTAGCCTTTCCCCTAATTGAGGTGTACATGTATGAGTTATTAGTGTGAGTGAGGTTATTGATGTAGTGGTAGCCTTTCCCCTAATTGAGGTGTACATGTTTGAGTTACTAGTGTGAGTGAGGTTATTGATGAGTGTATTTATGTTTAACTAGTATAAATGAGTTTACACGCCTTTGTCCACTGTGAGGCTGGTCCACCGTTAGATCTACTCTACAGTTCCGCTAGGTGCTGGTTCACCTGCTGTTGGTGACAAGCTTGCAGACCTCTTAACATGGTCTATAAAACTCTTGTTAAGGTTTTGTTTATTTGGGGGAAGCCCTCAGTTAAACTGTCAGTTGTATGTGTCAAATGTTTGTATGTGAATTAAAATAGCTATTTGACATACATTTGAATAGTCGCTGCTGTACTTATTGAGTTAACTGATGAGGTATGACTAAGTAGTATAAATGAGTTTGATTGAGTAGTACAAATGAGTTCATTGACATGTATTTGACATAAATTGGTATCAATGATGCATGGAACAAGAATATATCTCAACATTCCAAGGGGGATTAACTCTAAGATAACACAACATTTGCGTATATATATGAAAATCCAGGATGGGTACTGTTTTACTGTATTATAACTGTGTGTACTGTTTTACTGTATTATAACTGTGTGTACTGTTTTACTTTGTTATAACTGTGTGTACTGTGTTATAACTGTGTTTACTGTGTTATAACTGTGTGTACTGTTTTACTGTGTTATAACTGTGTGTACTGTGTTATAACTGTGTGTACTGTGTTATAACTGTGTTTACTGTGTTATAACTGTGTGTACTGTTTTACTGTGTTATAACTGTGTGTACTGTGTTATAACTGTGTGTACTGTGTTATAACTGTGTTTACTGTGTTATAACTGTGTGTACTGTTTTACTGTGTTATAACTGTGTGTACTGTGTTATAACTGTGTGTACTGTGTTATAACTGTGTTTACTGTGTTATAACTGTGTGTACTGTTTTACTGTGTTATAACTGTGTGTACTGTGTTATAACTGTGTGTACTGTGTTATAACTGTGTTTACTGTGTTATAACTGTGTGTACTGTTTTACTGTGTTATAACTGTGTGTACTGTGTTATAACTGTGTGTACTGTGTTATAACTGTGTTTACTGTGTTATAACTGTGTGTACTGTTTTACTGTGTTATAACTGTGTGTACTGTGTTATAACTGTGTGTACTGTGTTATAACTGTGTTTACTGTGTTATAACTGTGTGTACTGTTTTACTGTGTTATAACTGTGTGTACTGTGTTATAACTGTGTGTACTGTGTTATAACTGTGTTTACTGTGTTATAACTGTGTGTACTGTTTTACTGTGTTATAACTGTGTGTACTGTGTTATAACTGTGTGTACTGTGTTATAACTGTGTTTACTGTGTTATAACTGTGTGTACTGTTTTACTGTGTTATAACTGTGTGTACAAAGTCATTGTCCGACTAATGATTAATTGTTGTCAGATAAGTGATCTTACAAATATCCCAAATATTGTGACTCAGAAGCTCAAATCAACGGAGGGTGTGCTAGACTATGATTCCTAGAACATGCTACTGTTGGGAGGGGTTGTGTAGGGGGTGGGTCACCTATAGAGTTGATGGAGGTGACCATTATATAGATACATGGAACATGATTTGGGGTGAAATGTTTTTGGGATTTTTTTCTTTTGAATGTTTTTTTTTCTTTGTGATATATTAATTTGTCACACAGGAATAATCCAGGATGATTGAGGTTCGGTATAAACACACAACACTCAGATAAGTGTAGCACTTGGGATTGTAGTGAGTTATTAAGGTACCAGAATGTTGTTGATTGGCAGTGTCAGAATGTTACATATAGGATGAACGGTGACTTTGTATGGAGTATATAGAGGTGATGTACTTGTACTGCTGCTTGATGGTATAAATGCCAGGAACTATCACACTAACGCCACGTTATCAGGCCAAGCATGTCATAAGTTGATGTTATTAATCCCGTTATGTGATAATGTGTTTGTAAGAGTTGTGTCCCTTCTGTTGTAATGCTATACATAAAATGATTGATACTATGAGCGGCGGTGTGATAATTTCCTGATGGGAGTGTTTTACCGACTTGATATGATGTAAATCTTATTTGTGTCTGAGCTCCATTAAGCTTCACTTCAACTTCACACCCCTCACAAACTAGATTAATGTTATATTCAGTTCCTAGCACACTCCATAACAAATACTGTTATCTGTAAATAAACAAATAAAGTATCCAATGAACTTGTAGTATTGTTATGTTGTTTCATTACACTACAGCCAGTGTGTTGTTTAGAAGATGAAAAATTACATTATGTGTTCCATAGTTAAGAGAGTTCCTCGTCTAGTGTTCCGTAGTTAAGTGGGTTCCTCGTCTAGTGTTCGGAAGTTAAGTGGGTTTCTTGCTAGTGTTCCGTAGTTCAGTGGGTTCCTCATCTAGTGTTCGGTAGTTAAGTGGGTTTCTTGCTAGTGTTCGGTAGTTAAGTGGGTTCCTCGTCTAGTGTTCAGAAGTTAAGTGGGTTTCTTGCTAGTGTTCGGTAGTTAAGTGGGTTTCTTGCTAGTGTTCGGTAGTTTAGTGGGTTTCTTGCTAGTGTTCGGTAGTTAAGTGGGTTCCTCGTCTAGTATTCGGTAGTTAAGTTGGTTTCTTGCTAGTGTTCGGTATTTAAGTGGGTTCCTCGTCTAGTGTTCGGTAGTTAAGTGGGTTTCTTGCTAGTGTTCGGTAGTTAAGTGGGTTCCTCGTCTAGTGTTCAGAAGTTAAGTGGGTTTCTTGCTAGTGTTCGGTAGTTAAGTGGGTTTCTTGCTAGTGTTCGGTAGTTTAGTGGGTTTCTTGCTAGTGTTCGGTAGTTAAGTGGGTTCCTCGTCTAGTGTTCGGTAGTTCAGTGGGTTCCTCGTCTAGTGTTCGGTAGTTAAGTGGGTTCCTCGTCTAGTGTTCGGTAGTTAAGTGGGTTCCTCGTCTAGTGTTCGGTAGTTAAGTGGGTTCCTCGTCTAGTGTTCGGTAGTTAAGTGGGTTCCTCGTCTAGTGTTCGGTAGTTAAGTGGGTTCCTCGTCTAGTGTTCGGTAGTTAAGTGGGTTCCTCGTCTAGTGTTCGGTAGTTAAGTGGGTTCCTCGTCTAGTGTTCGGTAGTTAAGTGGGTTCCTCGTCTAGTGTTCGGTAGTTAAGTGGGTTCCTCGTCTAGTGTTCGGTAGTTAAGTGGGTTCCTCGTCTAGTGTTCGGTAGTTAAGTGGGTTCCTCGTCTAGTGTTCGGTAGTTAAGTGGGTTCCTCGTCTAGTGTTCGGTAGTTAAGTGGGTTCCTCGTCTAGTGTTCGGTAGTTAAGTGGGTTCCTCGTCTAGTGTTCGGTAGTTAAGTGGGTTCCTCGTCTAGTGTTCGGTAGTTAAGTGGGTTCCTCGTCTAGTGTTCGGTAGTTAAGTGGGTTCCTCGTCTAGTGTTCGGTAGTTAAGTGGGTTCCTCGTCTAGTGTTCGGTAGTTAAGTGGGTTCCTCGTCTAGTGTTCGGTAGTTAAGTGGGTTCCTCGTCTAGTGTTCGGTAGTTAAGTGGGTTCCTCGTCTAGTGTTCGGTAGTTAAGTGGGTTCCTCGTCTAGTGTTCGGTAGTTAAGTGGGTTCCTCGTCTAGTGTTCGGTAGTTAAGTGGGTTCCTCGTCTAGTGTTCGGTAGTTAAGTGGGTTCCTCGTCTAGTGTTCGGTAGTTAAGTGGGTTCCTCGTCTAGTGTTCGGTAGTTAAGTGGGTTCCTCGTCTAGTGTTCGGTAGTTAAGTGGGTTCCTCGTCTAGTGTTCGGTAGTTAAGTGGGTTCCTCGTCTAGTGTTCGGTAGTTAAGTGGGTTCCTCGTCTAGTGTTCGGTAGTTAAGTGGGTTCCTCGTCTAGTGTTCGGTAGTTAAGTGGGTTCCTCGTCTAGTGTTCGGTAGTTAAGTGGGTTCCTCGTCTAGTGTTCGGTAGTTAAGTGGGTTCCTCGTCTAGTGTTCGGTAGTTAAGTGGGTTCCTCGTCTAGTGTTCGGTAGTTAAGTGGGTTCCTCGTCTAGTGTTCGGTAGTTAAGTGGGTTCCTCGTCTAGTGTTCGGTAGTTAAGTGGGTTCCTCGTCTAGTGTTCGGTAGTTAAGTGGGTTCCTCGTCTAGTGTTCGGTAGTTAAGTGGGTTCCTCGTCTAGTGTTCGGTAGTTAAGTGGGTTCCTCGTCTAGTGTTCGGTAGTTAAGTGGGTTCCTCGTCTAGTGTTCGGTAGTTAAGTGGGTTCCTCGTCTAGTGTTCGGTAGTTAAGTGGGTTCCTCGTCTAGTGTTCGGTAGTTAAGTGGGTTCCTCGTCTAGTGTTCGGTAGTTAAGTGGGTTCCTCGTCTAGTGTTCGGTAGTTAAGTGGGTTCCTCGTCTAGTGTTCGGTAGTTAAGTGGGTTCCTCGTCTAGTGTTCGGTAGTTAAGTGGGTTCCTCGTCTAGTGTTCGGTAGTTAAGTGGGTTCCTCGTCTAGTGTTCGGTAGTTAAGTGGGTTCCTCGTCTAGTGTTCGGTAGTTAAGTGGGTTCCTCGTCTAGTGTTCGGTAGTTAAGTGGGTTCCTCGTCTAGTGTTCGGTAGTTAAGTGGGTTCCTCGTCTAGTGTTCGGTAGTTAAGTGGGTTCCTCGTCTAGTGTTCGGTAGTTAAGTGGGTTCCTCGTCTAGTGTTCGGTAGTTAAGTGGGTTCCTCGTCTAGTGTTCGGTAGTTAAGTGGGTTCCTCGTCTAGTGTTCGGTAGTTAAGTGGGTTCCTCGTCTAGTGTTCGGTAGTTAAGTGGGTTCCTCGTCTAGTGTTCGGTAGTTAAGTGGGTTCCTCGTCTAGTGTTCGGTAGTTAAGTGGGTTCCTCGTCTAGTGTTCGGTAGTTAAGTGGGTTCCTCGTCTAGTGTTCGGTAGTTAAGTGGGTTCCTCGTCTAGTGTTCGGTAGTTAAGTGGGTTCCTCGTCTAGTGTTCGGTAGTTAAGTGGGTTCCTCGTCTAGTGTTCGGTAGTTAAGTGGGTTCCTCGTCTAGTGTTCGGTAGTTAAGTGGGTTCCTCGTCTAGTGTTCGGTAGTTAAGTGGGTTCCTCGTCTAGTGTTCGGTAGTTAAGTGGGTTCCTCGTCTAGTGTTCGGTAGTTAAGTGGGTTCCTCGTCTAGTGTTCGGTAGTTAAGTGGGTTCCTCGTCTAGTGTTCGGTAGTTAAGTGGGTTCCTCGTCTAGTGTTCGGTAGTTAAGTGGGTTCCTCGTCTAGTGTTCGGTAGTTAAGTGGGTTCCTCGTCTAGTGTTCGGTAGTTAAGTGGGTTCCTCGTCTAGTGTTCGGTAGTTAAGTGGGTTCCTCGTCTAGTGTTCGGTAGTTAAGTGGGTTCCTCGTCTAGTGTTCGGTAGTTAAGTGGGTTCCTCGTCTAGTGTTCGGTAGTTAAGTGGGTTCCTCGTCTAGTGTTCGGTAGTTAAGTGGGTTCCTCGTCTAGTGTTCGGTAGTTAAGTGGGTTCCTCGTCTAGTGTTCGGTAGTTAAGTGGGTTCCTCGTCTAGTGTTCGGTAGTTAAGTGGGTTCCTCGTCTAGTGTTCGGTAGTTAAGTGGGTTCCTCGTCTAGTGTTCGGTAGTTAAGTGGGTTCCTCGTCTAGTGTTCGGTAGTTAAGTGGGTTCCTCGTCTAGTGTTCGGTAGTTAAGTGGGTTCCT